TTCTGATCTCTTGCACATACACAACTCACATGTCGTTCTCCTAATTCTCTATATCTCCTAAGAAGGAGACTTATGCTAAACATCAGGTCTCGGTTTCCCCTATATGTTATGACAATAAAGAAAGGCAAACTTCAAGATGATTTCTCCTTTGATTCTAATTTAATTCACAGAGAACTCATTTATTAAGCTTCTTCTTTTTTTAATTTTTTTGTCCAGGGCTGGGTTTGAACCCACCACCCTTAGGCATATGGGGTTGGCACCCTACTCCTTGAGCCACAGGCACCGCCCCTCATTTATTAAGCTTCTTTACCTTGCTGATTTGTTTCAAATGGCCCAATACAGTTGGAATAGTAACGTTAAACCTTGCTGCTAACTCACACAGAGGTTCAGATGGATGGACTTCCTCTACGGTTTTCAGGTGTTTCTTCATTATCCACCTTGGTCTCCTGTCGCCCAAGTGGCTCAGTTTCTTGATTAAAAAATCACCAGAACAGGGCAGCACCAGTGGCTCAGTGAGTAGGGCGCCGGCCCCATATACAGAGGGTGGTGGGTTCAAACCCTGCCCCGGCCAAACTGCAACCAAAAAATAGACAGGCATTGTGGTGGGCGTCTGTAGTCCCAGCTTCTCGGGAGGCTGAGGGAAGAGAATCACCTAAGCCCGAGAGCTGGAGGTTGCAGTGAGCTGAGACGTCATGGCACTCTACCTAGGGGGACAAAGTGAGACTCTGTCTCAAAAAAAAAAAAGTCACTAGAACAAAACTTCTTAAATCATCCTCGTATTGTGTGTTCATTAGTCACATTGTTCTCGAACACTCTGTTGATATTTAGAGCTGCACTGCTTTTCCATGACACAACTCATACTTGAAAATACCACAGACTTTTGACTTACCCATGGTTTAACAAAATTTGGTCTAGATAAAAATTCCAAAGATAATCATAAACGAAAACGTGCTGTTTGAAAAAAAGAGGATATATACCGTCACAGTAAAAATAAAACAAGATTGTCAAAGTGAAATGTCAGAAATACCAACTGTCAAACTTAGTGCTTAAGGAAATTGAACATGTCATACCTAATAACCTCAACATAATGCTTTTACACAAGGTTGTAGAGTAAGTTATTCATTTGGGGAAAAGATGGACGGGTGTTGCCTTAATATCCAGACTTAACTAGCCTTTGGCAAATGGAGTTTGGGGTTCCTGAAATTCTTTAAAAATTTTTCCTTTTTAAGATTTTTGTATTAAGATTTTTTTCCCCCATTCTGTAGTTTGCTGATTCATTTTTTAATGGTGTCTTTTGATGAGCAGCAGCTTTTAATTTGGATAAATTGTATCAATTTTTAGAATTGAATAGCTTTGCTGTCTCTTGTAGCTAAGAATTATTTGCTTATTTTTAGGTCATAAACATATCTCCCTATATTTTCTTTTAGGCTATTTTAGTTTTTACATCTTCACAATGCTAGTTTTTAAGATGCCCATTTAGATGCAAACACCAAAATATATATATATATATATATAGTTTTCATAACTTATAGACCCGAATGCCTCAAGTTTACTGTGTGCTGTGTGCTCTAGATGGGTAGAATATAAAGAGTAACTGATTTTTTGAATGGCTCAATTTATTTGTTTTATGTTAATAGGTTTAGAGGGTACAAGTTTAATCCTGCGGCATATCTGTATTATAGAGTGGTAGAGTCTGGGCTTTTGGTGCACCCCTCACCCTAGACGTGTACTTTGTACCCTATAGGTTAATTTTTCATCTCTTCCCTATCCAACTTCCGGGTGAGTCTCTAATGTCGGACATACCACTCTGTGTGCCCTTGTGTAGCTATAGTTTAGCTCTGACTTACAAGTGAGAACGTGTAGCATTTCTTTTTCTGTTCCTGCGTTACTTAGAATAATGTTCTCCATTTCCACCCAAGTTGTTACGAAAGATGTTATTTTATTTTTTCTTATCATTGAGCATGGCTGAATTTGAATGGCAATTTTTGTTCCTAAACTGGTACAGTGTTTCCAAGTTTAACTGAACACATTCACTCTTGAAACTCTTAAAAAAATATTATCGGGCTTCGCTCTTAGAAAATGACTTTGTTCTGTAGTCCGTGGTGCAGGCTTCACTCACCTAGAAGTCCTTAATAATCGTTGAAGCTTGCTCTATGTATCATTCTCCCAAATGGTCAGAGGGTAGGACAAAGTTAATGGAAATGGTCTGATGCATTTTAATTTATGTATTGCTACCAGAGTGCCTTTTACTGTCCTTTGTAATAATGAATTAAAAGTTCTTGCGGAGAGTCTTAAGAGATAAGGGGATTTCCAGTAAAAATAATAATAAGAGGGAAAAAAAATAAAAAGGACTTGGGGACGGGCTCTGCAGAATTTTACTAAACATTCGGTGGCAGTAAGGTGTAACTGAATGAAATTATAAAAACTGTTCCTTTCCGGGCAGGAATCCAGTGAACGATCTGTGTGTTTTCAGTTGCTGGTTCTTTGCTTTTCCTCTGCAAGGGAAAATTGCAACAAGTCTTGACAGGAAGTTGCTGGGCTCCCTCCTTTTTTTTTTTTTTTTTTTTTTTTAATAGTTCATTCTACCAAATGGTTTTGCTAATGTACCCCGGCTTGGCTGGCAATTAAACATGAAACTTCTCATTGGGTATTTTCAAGACTACTACGGGGAATCAGCTGCCAGCTTACTGCCATGTGGAAAACTGCACGAGATTCCGGGATTGGAATCAAAATGCTAATTTAAAAGGTCAAGCGAAGCTGTGCCTCACGTTTTGGTGTGCCTGCGCTCTCTGTAGGCAGAAGCGAACAAAGACCCTGAGAGAGAACCCAGAGCCTGAAACCCGTCCTGTATATGTTGTCCTGAAATAATTTTGGAATCATGCCTGAAATGCCGGAGGATATGGACCAGGTAAGAGCTAGCAATTCAAGAAATGAAGCATTCTATACAGAGGAAGAGTTGTTTTGAAAGCATTCCAGAGAATGCCTGGTAAAAAGCAGAATGGCTTTGTAAAAATAATAGAAGTGGGTGTCATTCATTTCCTTAAAACAGTACCTGGGCACAAAGAAGAATAAATCAACTATAGATTGATAGATGGAATCAGATTATGGAGAATTTTAGCTAAATCTCCTTAACTGGCAAAAACAAAATGCAAAACAGAACAGCAGTTTCATTTATTGGATTAACTGTAGTGATATAAGTGAAGGTTCTGTTATACAAGTAAGGAATTTATGTCTCGGTCGTGTGCTTCAGACTTTGTATGAATTGAATCGTCTAAAGTAACTTTGATATGCTAGTCTTTAAATTTATAGACTTAGCCACCACACGAAGTTAGACGTTGCCTAAGTAAGAATGACGTTTGATTCACATAGAAGGTATCATCCAAAGAAAATGATTAAAAACCATACCCAAACATCTGCCCCTACAACTGTACCTAACTTTCAGGGCAAGTATCAGATTTTTCAAATGTCAACTTAAAACTTTTTGCACCGCTGCTCTGGGAATCGAAATGCTAATTGCATATCCAGGTCCTTAAATCTTAACGTTTAGCACTTCCCCCCCCCCGCCCCCAAATCGTAAATTAATTGCAACTAGAAACTTTAAAATAACATTTCCTAGTTCCTAAGAGAGAAGTTGTTGAGAGGCTCTTGGATCTGGTCCCCTCCCCCCATGCTTTCTTTGTTGTCTCCGGGTTACTTTTGTTCAGTGCTGAGGCAGTCCTTTCAAGGATTCTCTAAATAATGCTAGTCCGATGAACAGTAAATAATAGCCTGGATTAAAACAAAAAAAACCCCAGTAAAATTGAAAAGTGAGCGACTGCAGACAGTTACTGTTCCAAAGAAATTTTTAACGTTTACATGAATAAGAAAATGAGTTCTCGTTGGAGCTTCGGGAGGAAAGAAAGTCTGGGGCCTCTGACATAGAAAAACTTTTTAAAAGGTTGCTTGGCCCTTATGTATAAATTATGCTAAGAAGGATTAAGAAAATAAGGCCTCCTTAGAAAATCCAAGCAGTGGTCACGTTTGCGGGTGACGTTTAAAGCTCGATCTCCTGGCTGGCTGTACAAAAATTCCAGACTTGGGTCTGGAGCTACAGAGTCTTTGCTGGGGTTATTTTTCTGCGTCAATTTTCCAGCTCTCCAGTTTTGACTCAAGGACTCGGCGGTATTGAAGTGGAAGGCAAATCAGTTGGGTGCTGGGCGAGCCTGAACACTTAGGGCTGTTGGTTTTGATTTACTTTTTAAAGGCGAATAGTAGTAGAACGCCCATCATTGCATTCTGGTTGGCTCTTTAATTTTTTAGCAAGTCTGGGCTTACAGAGCTCAAAGCTGCAGCCTCCATGGCGGAGCGTCTCAAAGTGTGGTCTCCACTCCTGTTAACGCCACTAAGTGGGGTCCCGAGCTCTACTATAAAGGGTTTATTGTAGGTAAAATCCAAGAACCTGCGTTTTGAAGAGGTACTCCAAACTCAAATAATTCAACACCTTTTTGGTTAAAAGTAGTTACACATTTTTGAGATTTCATACATCTTAATATTTAGGATCCCAGAAAGACAAACAGCTCACCTGCCGACACTTTTATTTTTAGTCCCTTTTTCTAAATCTTTCAAGACGCACACCTAAAGCCAGAGATATGTTCATTGTGCTCCTCCCTGCCCCTCTCCCTCTCAGGACTTTTAAAATGTTATATTCGATTTTTTAAGATGACATGCCCAGTTGATTATTATGCACTGCGCAGCCTGCAGACTTGAAACTCTAGGGCGATTCACTTAAATCCTAACCGCATTTAATTAGGAAAAAGAAAAAAAGTACACAAATAAGCAAAATCTCCACAAACTTGAAAGCATTGCTTAAGGTCAGGGCCTTTGTTTTGTGTACCACTTTAAGAGATGGCGCGAGGGCTGGGAGGGAGCGTCCCGCGTGCGCCCGCCCCCTTCTGGGGCGTCGGCGGAGCGTGGCCAATCAATGGAGGCGACCGTGGCGGCGGAAGCCGGAAGCAAGGAGAGGGGTCGACCTGGGCCTGAGAGAGGCGGGCCGAAGGCGACTGAGCTAAGGCCCGCGGCAATCGTGGTCGCGGCCGCTGCGGCGGCGGCGCGAAAACGGCGGGCATGGTGGGGCGGCCGAAAGAGCTCTCCATCCACTTTCTTCCTGGAAGCTGCCGGCTAGTGGAGGTGAGGGAGTCGGTTCTGGGGTTGGGGGTCTGGGGTAGGAACCTGGGACGCCGGGGGACCAACAGGGTCCGCGGGGAGATGGGGGCTGCCCAGATGCGACTCGTGCGAGCCGGAGAAGCGGTCCAGGAGCGGTCTCGGAGCCTCCTTCCCGGCTGCAGAGCCCGGGCGGTGCCACAGAATTTGTTTATCTCGGCGCACGCCGCTCGGTGTTTCTTTCGCAGCCGCTGCGGCCGGAAGCGAGTCTGTGGAGGTTTTACTTTCGAGGTCTGTCTCAGCTCTTGGGAACGGACAGCTTTTCCATAGTTGTTTGTGTTTTGAGCCTTCAGTTCATGTGTGGTTCAAATTCCTCAATCTTAAAGCTCATGGCTTTGAGAAAAACAGGAACATGGCTTTTCAGGAACAGTATTGGAGATAACTTAATAAAGTCTTAGCTCGTACGAGGGATAATAGGGTTAGTCTTCATAAGTATGAGACACTGTTACTGCCCTATTTTACAGATGAGAAAACTGAGGTGCAGTAGGTGAGAAATTGGTCCAACTTCATTCGGTAAAATGGGTGCAGGGATTCAAATATAGGTGTTATCTCAGGGATCCCCTCATATACTACTACATTATATGTCAGAGCGTCCTTCAATACACAAAATATTTACAGCTTGGTTATTAGAAGATTGCTCATGCCCAGACCAATATTTCTATAGAGATACGAGAGAATAGGGTTGGGTTTTGGCTGGTGTGGTTCTTTTGTTTGGTTGTTTTTTAAAGAAGAGTCTCACTCTTGTTGCCCAGGCTAGAGTTCTATGGTGGGCTGTTTTTGATAAGACGAAGTTTTTATGCTTCCAAAATGCAGTTAGTGTTTTCAAATCACTTTGGCTCTTTCAGGATAAAGTTAGTATAGATGGTCTGATTAAATCTGTGTTGTTCCTTTGTGCCCCAAGCAGTTCTGAGTGCGTGTTACGTATTGTTTATGTGCGTTTATGTGTGTGTATAAAGCTTAAGCTGCTTTTCACAGCAGGAGTTCAGTAAACAAAAATGGCTTTTCATGTTTTCCTTCATTAAAACTGAAGTTTGGCAGCTAAACCTTTACAACGTACTTGTTGCTCTCTCAAAACTTGTAAAATTAAACTCATGGGAATAGGAACTTTTTTTTTTTTTTTTTTTTGCAGTTTTTGGCTGGGGCTGGGTTTGAACCCGCCACCTCTGGCATGTGGGCCGGCGTCCTATTCCTTTGAGCCCCAGGCGCCGCCCGATGGAACTATTTTATGGTTTACATTATATTTATCACTAAAATTTAAGATTTTTTTTTTACAGTTTAATGTATTTTAATAGCAAACTTACAGAAACAGCACAGAAGACAGACAACATTAAAAACATGTATTTGCATGTACGACAACTCAGTTAGAAAAGTATAGTGAATGGATGGAATCTACTATATGATAAAAATGCTACAAACACCATTTAGTTGCCATCAATAAGAAATTTACTTGTTTTAAAAAAATCCAAATGCCGGCGGCATTGTCCAGAAAAATTTAACAGGTGTATTTATAATTGTTATAAAGTTGAACTGCTGAAACTTGTTCACTGAAACATTTTGACTCGCTTTAATGCTGCACATCCCCTCATTTTATATTAAAAATTCACGCACAAATGAAAATGGAAAAACTGCCGATACCTGATTTCTGTCCACTATTTTTCCAGTCGCAGTCATATACTTAAGTATCTTTTGACCCCATGGAGGGAAAAAATCTAACGTTCAGAACTACCTGTAACAGGAAGAAGAGAATTTTTTTTTTGATAATGAAATGTTTTCTCATCATAGCAGACTCTTAAGCATGTTCTCCACGTATGTGGCGTGCTAGCTGGATGTCTTTTGGCATAATTGTTACATGTTTAGCATGGGTAGCACACAGGTTGGTGTCTTCAAAAAGGCCAACCCATAGGCCTCACTTGCCTCCTGCAAAGCACCAATAGCTGTGCTCTGGAAGCGCAGATCTGTCTTAAAGTTCTGAGCAATTTGTCGCACCAGACGCTGGAAAGGAAGTTTGCGAATCAGAAGTTCAGTGGACTTTTGATAACGTTTTATTATCACGGAGTGCCACAGTACCAGGCCAGTAGCGATGAGGTTTCTTTACCCCTCCAGTAGAGGGCGCACTCTTGCGAGTGGCTTTTGTAGCCAGTTGCTTCCTGGGTGCTTTAGCACCGGTGGATTTCCGCGCAGTCTGCTTTGTACGAGCCATGGGTATAAAGACCTCTTTATTTAGCCCGCCTTCTTCGGCTGGAGCTCAGCGAGCTAGAGGCGGCGCTGGCGTTAGACAGCGAACACCAAGATCTTTACTTAGTGATACTTCATTCTTTTCTAGAACTTTTTTTTTTTTTTTTTTTTTTTTTTTTTTTTTGGGTAGAGACAGAGTCTCACTTTGCCACCCTTGGTAGAGCGCCGTGGCGTCTCAGCTCACAGCAACTTCCAACTCCTGGGCTTAGGCGATTCTCTTGCCTCAGCCTCCTGAGTAGCTGGAACTAGAGGCGCCCGCCACAACGCCCATCTATTTTTTTGTTGCAGTTTGGCGGGACAGGCGTTTAACCCGCCACCCTCATTATATGGGGCCGGCACCCTACCCACTAAGCCACAGGCGACGCCCTCTAGACATTTTTAATAGAAGTTAATACAGTAGAAATCAGTATCCCAGACTGTTGTGTTAGATAATTGAGAACGAGGCCTTGATCTCCCATTACCTGTATAATTTGGTATCATTTGATTAGGTAACACAATAAGAACATAATAAATGTAGCTCTGCTTTCATTTATATGGATTTAATTTTTCAAGTCTTTTTGGTGTCCATAAATCTGATCACCTGAAGTGGTTGAATTTCATACACCAAAGGGTTTATTCAATATGAGGCAGAGACAGGTGTAGGGAAGCATGAACTGATATTTGATCTACTTAGCTCATAAAGTAGAAATTGAGAAAGTAGACTTTTCGGGCAGGCACTGTAATTTGGGTGAACTAGACAGCCTTTTATTCTTTTTCCTGAATTCATTGAAGCGTTTTGGCATTCTCCTAACATAATTTGTGGAGTGAAGGTCCAGAGTAATTCTGAGAGGACTACTACTTTTCAACAATAAACAGAAATCCAACAAAACAGTGTACACTTTTAAAAGCTTTATAATTAAGAGTACTGCTTATAGAGAAACTGAAAAAAAAACTTGTTTGGCATCTTTTAAGAGGTCTTCAAACTGCAGTCTTCAAATTACTGTAATTGGCATCACCTCAGAACTTGGTAGGAGTGCAAAGGTAAACTTTCTTAAGTAGCCAAAGCTTTTTCACTCTGTATTGGTTAGACTCTTTGTGGTAAGAATAATATAAAAAATGTTAGAAATGTGGAACTATGAAGTTGGAGGAGCCTTGTTCAAATACCTCATTTTTATTAGTGAGGAGTTAGATCAATAGAGATAGAATAAGTTCTCCATGCTATTGTTTGTGGCAGTGTATAAAACTTTTATCATTCATGAAACCAAATATAAGTCCAGAGGATTGAGATAAAATCCAATGCATTTGGCTTGCCCAGTTAAGCTAAAAGACTCAAGTTCTGGGACATGTTTACCGCAGACATGTTTAGACTGCGGACATCTTTAGACTTCAGATTCATTATTTGGGAATAGTATTTTCCCTATCAGAGCTGTTCTTATGGTTGAAAGGTGTATAATGTATGTTTATATAACATAGTTTTAAAATATGTTTTAAATAACTTTTTAAAAAAAAGTTCCCTGCTCTTCTAATAAAGAAAATTCTTAAGCATTTACATCTGACCTTTGGGTATTGTGTACAGTTTCATATTTTCTTTTAGTTGCCTTACATAGTACCCTGGGGTATAAAGGTAATGAAGTTCATTTTCAGTATGCAACCAGATATTCTTTAAGTGTAGTATATTCCCTCAAGAGCTTTTGTTCATCTGGAAACTTAATACTGTAATTTTATTGACTCCAAGGTGCTCTTGATTATAAGATCATATGGGCTCTTATTTGAAGACGCAATTAAGAGTTTGGCAAAAAATACTGCCAAACTATGATACATTAAGATTCATGTCTTTTATTTAACTAATGTTAAAATGAGGAAGAAGTGTGTTTCATAGAATGAAAGTATGCAGAGATCTTAATTCACTGCTCCTCATCTTTTGTAGATTGCATAATACTTTGACTCCTAGCTTTCCTTTTTAAGGGGGAAAGATGCTCAGGATGGAGGGGTTCAGGCCTGTAATCCCAGCATTTTGGGAGACTAAGGTGGAGGGTCCTGTGAGTGGTCTTATGTACATTTCAAGACCACCCCTATCATCTTACTGAAACCTCATCTCTATAAAAAAATAAAATTAGCCAGGTGTAGTGGCACATGCCTATAGTCTCAACTACTGGACAGGCTGAAGTGGGAGGATGGCTTGAGCCCAGAAGTTCCAAGTTGTGGTAAATAAATAAATAAGTAGATAAACTCCTAGTACCTTGTCTCTACTAGGAAGGTACATGATGGAAGTTTTTTGGTTTTTTTGAATTAGCGATTTGGACCTTTTTGAATGCCTTGAACTTTCCTGGAGTTCAGGATTACAGTGCTCTTCAAACTGCAATCTTCAAATTACCATAATCACTATCACCTGGGAACTTGGTAGGCATGCAAATTAGCAGGACCCAGCCCAGACTACCAAATCTGGAAGCCCTCTCAGTGATTTTGACCCATCCTGAACACTTGAGAACCACTGACCTAAGAACTGTCATCTGTTTGCTTCTATAGAGTGAAGTAAAAGCTGAGAAATTTGGAAGAAGCCAAATCCTGTATCTTTTGTACTGTTTTCCAACAAATGTTTATAGTATTTATCCTGTGTAAATTATTTTCTGATTGTGTCCTTCCTAGACTTGGCATGTTTTCTCCTCTTTATGGTTCAGCCTTTGTAGAGCTGTTTTCTTGCCAAAATTCAAAGAAAATATTTTCCTGGCTGAAATCCTTGTTGTCACAGATCATTTGGCTTAAAGCCAAGTTTTACTACAAAGAGCCTGGGTGAAATTTCTTTTAGCTTTAAAATGTCGTTAAATGGGTCAAACTAAGGAAAAATAATTCTTAAAAATTTACATTTTATAGCCTTTCCATATTAGGTCTTGCATATGCTAGAAATACCTGATTTTGGTATCTTTTTATAGATACCAAATGCCTATCTTGGTTATTGCCTATATATTTAAGTTTTGGACAGCTCAGAATTAGGTGACTGTAACAACTCTTGACATGAAAGGACCTCAGGTCGCTTAAAATTTAACTCTTTAAAAGAATAGTCTTCTTGGGGAAGAAGAGAAATTTTTTAAACTATGCCTTGGAAACATACCATTTAAGTTGTTTCCTAAATAGTGGTTCTTTTGAATTTCTCTATGCATGGAATATTTTGGTTTTTTACAATAGAAACAGGTCAGTTTAAAATATTTTATTTTTTCTTCCCCTCTGTGTTTACTAATTATTTTATGTCAATTTAAAGTTAACTCAGGAACATTTACTAATATGGTTAAACTTAGCATTTTAGTCTTGCAAGGACCAAATTTATTTCCTTTTAATAAATTCCTTTAAAATGTTGACTAATTCTTTAACTCAGCCCTATCGAAATGTAATAAATCATTGAGATTTGAAAGAAAATTTGTTGTTAAAAACTGAGGAGCAGAAATGTCAGGTATACAGGGTGGTGCCCATAGGTCAGTGGGGGACCCTGGCCACATACACTGAGGCTGGTGGGTTTGAACCTGGCCTGAGTCAGCTAAAACAACAATGACAACTGGAACAACAAAAAATAAATAGCCAGGTGTTGTGGCGGGTGCCTGTAGTCCCAGCTACTTGGGAGACTGAGGTAAGAACTTAAGCCCAAGAATTTGTGATTGCTATGAGCTGTGACACCACGACCCTCTCTACCCAGGGCAACAGCCTGAGACTCTGTCTCAAAAAGAAAAAAAAAGAAATGTCAGGTATAACCTAAATATCCAGGCCATAAAGTAAGCCTAAAACAGTTCTCTCTAGAGGCTTAGAGCACGTTGGTCATCTGTATAGGAGCAAAACACATTGTACACACTTATAAACTGAAGAACGTAATTAAAGTTGGTTATTCATTTGGGTATCATCAGTGATAACAATAAGATTTTTTGTGATTAGGAAATACAAGTCTTATGTTCTTTTTTGGATAAGGTGATTCAAACTTTTTTTTTTTTT